CATTTTGATTGCAGTATTCATTTGCAAACTTATGCAATCGAAGACAGATCCGGAAGTATTTTGAAACAGTGCTGGCCATTATTGCAAACGCCTTCGAAAAAAATTGGGAATTTCGCTTCATTTTTCTGAATCTCAAGTGTGTTAATACATATTAGAGCAGCTTTTGTTTTCTGTTCCATAACTGCAGAAAATCAAGGAAAAATCCAAAGCCAAAAGAAAGCTGGTGAAATGCTTAACACACTTTCTCTCTTACTTTCTCCTTTTCTTTGGTTTTCGGTATTATTTGTAAAAGTACAACTTTAATCTCTGGAAATTCGCATTAGTAAGGCAACTGAGAAAAATTGTCAAAAGGGGAGATTTTATGGGTAACTGAGAATGATACTCTTTTTACTTCTAGAGAGCTGAAATTCTTTTTTCTTTTCAAAGCCCTATAAAATTTAACCATGCGAGACGGTTCAAAGTTTGGAGCTGTACTTACAAAAAAATATTAGGAGCCAAAAAAGTGGTATTGGATGTGAGAAACAAAAAGTGTGTTTCTTGTTTTTTTTCTGCTTTTTCTGCTGTCACCAAGCAGAATCGAAAGCTGCTATAGTATAATGACAACATATTGCCGGAATCACATTCGAGGTGAAATTAGGAAGTGTTCGTCTAAGATTTTTCGAATGCATCTACTATTATGAAGCACTGCATTTCTGTTTGGAGTGAACGTTTCGGTTATGCCCAGTTGACTTAAAATAACAATCATGAATTATATCTAACTTAGACAAACAGAGATATTTAGTAATAAGTAAAAGCCCAACTTAACTATCAACTCATTTGAAATGTGGACTTTAGGCACAAGAAGGATCCGCGATTAGTGGTCTCTGCGGGTAACGATGGTTTCGTTAGGGTATTCAATGCAGACACGGGTGAAGTGCAAGGGGCGGTACAGCTTCAACATCAAGTACTGTGTATGCAGCACTTTTTCCGTTATACATCAACATGGAATAATACTCTAGAATGACAAAGTGCGTGGAGTTGCGTGGTCTGAAGTACGTCCGGATCTATTGGCAGTACAATATTATCAACATCCAACCGAGTTTCTTTCTATCGAAGGTGGTAGCGAGGTAAGTATTAAGCAGTTTTATTGGTAAATTTTCTTAGTCCTATATATTCTAGGACTCTCCTGTTAGGCGACTAGATGTTAACCTTGTGCCG